TGATATCAGTAGCGCGTTTCCGACAAACAGCATCTGGTGGTCACCAACCGTGTTTGATTAATTATCTGTTCCTTAATAACGATATTATTATAAATTACAAAAAACACGCACCTTTTCATGTAATATCCACAGAAGGCCTAAAATGGGCGTATGCGATTCTCCACGGTTATATTATACGCATCGTTTCCAGACTCATGCGGCGTGTCCAAACATTATACCTAAAGGGTTGAAATTTATTTCCCTCATAGTCATTTCAAGGAGCTTCCAAGTGACAATTATACAGGGTGTAAAGTTAGTAGTGGATCGACGAATAGAGGACCTCAAAACCTATCGAATGAACCCATATATGTGTCGTCCGAAATTTTATAGTTCAGGAAATATTTGCAATTTTGTGACATTTCGAAAAAAAAAAACAACGGGATAATGAACTTTCAATCGCAATTACAACAAAACTATTAGGTTTAGGGCTGTGACTTTTTTTCTGAGATGAGCTAAATTATGGAAAATGCAACTTCATTTCAAAGATTAAAGGGCAATTTTATCAGAAGGTGTAGCTTGTGTATAGAAAATAATGGAGGCCATTTCGAACATGCTCTTTAAAAGTTAGTTAAATTAAATTATCTTCCACATTGTCAGTAAATCACCATAAAGAGCGGCTAGACACAATAGGTTTTGTAAGTACAGAATCCTTACTATCTACAAGTGTAGGTGGTAATGATTCTATTGCGTTTCTTACGTTTATCGCATCACAACAACGAATGTGACATGATACACTCATCTTAGCAAGCTGAAATTTTCAGGGTTTATTCTAAATGGATGGAAATAGTTATTAGAATAAAATGAATAATGAAATACAACCTCAATTTTTTTATCGCCCTCCAAAGTTGAGGAATGGAAGAGATTTTTCACAAAAAAATGAATTTAAGACTTTTGCGTTGATTTCTAATACACTCTGTTGAAAAGTGACATAACCGTTGCTAAAACTAACCGTTTATCTCATCTCAGAAAACACTCACAGCACTAAACCTAATGATTTAGTTGTAAGTCCATTATCCATGTTTTTTATTAGAAATTTAACAAAATTGCAAATATTTCCTGAACTATAAAATGTTGGACGACTCATATAGGGGTTCATTCGATAGGTTTTGAGGCCTTCTATCACCTGACATCCATTGATCCACTACCAACTTTACCTCCTGTATTTATTATGAATATAAAGCAAAAGATATAGGAAAATTATGCATAGAACAATAAGAGTAAATTGAAAGAATCTACATAAGCTATTTTATAGAATGGTACTGCCACCTCTAGAAGCTAGCACATATACTCATGGTAATAGTACTTTTTCCATGTCAGGTAAGTCGTCATTCGAGAGGAGTTGGTGGTTGCCTGGAATGAGATACCACAGGAGGACATTGACCACCTGATCAGAAGCATGCCTAGGCGCGTTGGAGAATGCGTAGCACATCAGGGTGCATCCACACATTATTAAAGGTCAAAGGGCTTTAAAGCAGTGCAATCATTTTGAAATGTTTATCATTTACTTATTATGCTTCATTAAGTACTTATACAAAATTTTATTAAAATAAACCATTTAAACTGGGTGTTCGGATTTATATGTCACTTAGTATAATTCGTACAAATGTAACTCGCAGGCGTATTATGTAAGAAACCTATAAAACATCAAAAAAAAAAAACCTATAAAATGTTATCATGCAGACTAGGTAGTTTTTAGGGTGCAAACAGTCATTCGACTACACGCATTGTTGGTTGCATATTATGTTTTGTGAAGCCGAGTAGTCTGTAGTTTTCATCTCTGAGAAGGAAGTTGGTTGAATAGCAAGATCGCGTCTGGATGATTATGTGTATAACATCAGTGATATTTGCTTTGTGAGAAAATCATTACTAAATATGCTGCCAATGAAGCAGATCTATTAGCTGTGCCGGAAGGTTTATTTATATGTTGTCCTTTCTGAAGACAGGTTATGTTCAAAGGTATAAATTACGATTTTTGACGTTTTTTTGTGTTTACTCGCGCTGATGTCAATGATGACCTCTCAACATCCACGTGTACCTCTGACGTCATAACACAATCATTATACAGGGTGTTTCAAATTCGACCCTCACCATTGGGATCTCGGAAACGGTACGAGCTACGACGTGGCTTAGATGAGGAAAAAGTTGCGTATTTAGGTAACACTCAAGATGCCGTTTTGGAAATTTTGAAACTCGAAGTACTTCCGGAGCGAGACGACAAAAAGCGAATTTTCCCGAAGTCGTTTTGATTTTTTCCTGGCTTTATTTGTGGAGCGATTTTATGATAAACTGCGCTTTAACAATGCCAATCCCTTCTATAAGATGGTATAATTAGAATTTCAATATGACGTTTCGTCCTCTAGCAACAACATCATTTTTTCTTATGGATGCCATATTAAATCTTTGCGCAGATGAATAAAGTTTGCTAATTATGATTCCAAAAATACATTAAGTTAGACATAAATATGACCAAGCATTAGTTATTGAAAAGAAAAATAGAATTTGCTAGCTGTGATTTGAAATGATCAAATAGTCATTTGATTCGTATACCAGATTTATTGAAAACTCGTTTATTTCCTGGTTTTATTTGAAATGGGATTTTAAAATAAATTGCATACTTCTACATGAAGTAGTATCTCGGCAATCGTCAAATAACAAAATTGTATGTTTGTTAGAAAGTTCAAAGAATCACCACTTGGATGTACAGTGTAATTTTTCGAAACACGCGGAATAACGATTAATGTTTGACACCTTAGAATAAGGGACATGAAAAAAATCCAAGTTTCTACTTACCGTCTCCGTCGCAGTCGCCACCTTTGCCTCTAAGCAACCTAGAGATAGCGGATACGCTAGGGGCTGTACTCCTGTCACAGATGCCTTCCTTCACCAATCGGTCCCTGATCTCCCAACTGAAAATTGACGGATTTTCCCTTTTGTACTGTTCTATGCGACTCTCCACTTCAGGGGTCGCGACGCGGGGCTTCGATCCACCGATAACTCCTGGTCGGATCGAACCCGTCTCCTGCAAATTGGAAAAAATAATTGTTATAACTTTTTAAGAGTTATAGGATTTGATTAAAGAAAAAAAACACAAAAAATTTGAAAAAAGCGATTAAATCTTTATTTGAGTCGATAGAACGGTCGATATAATTTAATGTTTAAAGATTATTTCATGTAAATGTTGGCCGCGGATCCGCTTTAGATGGCCCATGCGCAAGGTCCAATTTTGGCACACTCTCTCCAACATATCGGCCGGTATCTCACGAATAAATGCTTCAATATTGGCGTCAATCGTTGCTGGTTTATCCCTGTAGACATTAGCCTTAACATGGCCCCACAAGAAATAGTCCAACGGCGTTAAATCACACGATCTAGGCGGCCAATTGACGCGCCCCAAACGTGAGATAAACTGTTCACCGACCTCGCCTCTCAATAGGGCCATTGTTTCGTGTGCGGTGTGGCATGTGGCACCGTCTTATTGAAACCACATGTCAGCCAAGTCCAGCTCTTCCATTTTGGGCAAAAAAAAGTTTGTTATCATCGCACGATAGCGTTCGCCATTCACAGTTACGGAACATTGTCGTCTTTGAAGAAGTACGGCTCGATGATGCCACCGGCCCATAATCCACGCCAAACAGTGATTTTTTCGGGATGCATTGGTAGCTCTTGCAATGCTTCAGGCTGGTCTTCACTCCAGATGCGGCAATTTTGCTTAATAAGGTACCCATTCAACCAGAAATGAGCTTCGTCGCTGAACACAATTTTTCGATAAAAATGTGGATCTTCCTCCAACTTTGCCAGCGCCCATTCACCAAATTGGAAATGTTGTGGGAGGTCGTGTGGCTTCAATTCTTGCACCAGCTGTATCTTATAAGGTTTTACACCCAAATCCTGTCGCAAAATTTTCCACGTAGTGGAGTAACAGAGGCCCAATTGCTGCGAACGGCGGCGAATCGACATTTCACGGTCATCACTAACACTGACGGATACAGCCGCAATATTTTCTTCAGTCCTCACTCTACGCCTGCGTGTTGGTGGTTTAATGTCCAATAATGTAAACTGGGTTCGAAATTTAGTCACAAGCTTCCGAATAGCTCCCTCAGTAGGCCGATCAAATTGCCCATAACTTGGAAGCAGTGCTCGATGCACTCTCTTAACCGAGCATGAATTTTGATAGTAAAATTCAATAATTTGCAAGCGTTGTTCGTTCGTAAGTCGATTCATGGTTAAATTATAGACCAAACTGAACAAGTTTGACAATGACACAAGACACGATTCACGCGTCATCTGTCAAAAACAGTGTTGCCAAAAAGATACTAGCAAAAAAATCACCCATTATAAGTTTTACACAGAACAAGGAATTAGGAGTACTTTAGCCGAGATATGGGCATACCTAAAGATGCGCGATGAAGCCACGCGAGCGACGCGAGAACCGGAGGTTGTTCATTTCAAGGTCGTGGATGTGACGGAGAGCAATCTCCTCATATCTTTCGAGGGAAGAAGTCTTAAGTCTTAATTTATACAGTATTAGTATCTTGAGTTGTTATTGCTGAGTCTCAAATGTCCAATCCTTGATGAAATTGAAAAATCTAGAAAACTACTGATATCTATTGAATTTTAGATTCCCTATGCTGTTCTACAAGGAATTTGCCGAATTATTAATAACCCTTTATATTCAACAAATTTCTTAGCTAAGCTAGTTAAATAATTTTTGGCATTGAACAGCCGATAAACAAACATGAATCTTGTTACAACCGCATCACCCCCCCTCGGATTCTTAAATCTGCTCTTAGCTTAAAACTTGCAAACTTGTTACATGTCAGAACTGAATCTAAAAAAATTTTGTTCCCGAGAATTTGGTCCAGCAATAATCCATAAATGCAATGTTTGCGTATTTAAAATGGTTCTAGCTTCTCATGCTGTGGGGACTGAGTCATTCTATTGATGACATCTTGAGCCGTATTCATAAAAGAGAAGCATATCCTCGGAAGCATAAGGTAAAAGTATAAGGTCTTGCTTCGGAGAAAAAGGTAGAAGTATAATCATATACTTGTTGTCATATGCATAATGGACTCGCGAGGATATCCTCCAAGAAGAAGTAAAAGATTGACTGGTATTTGTATCTTGAGCAACATGTCCCGACTTGTTCCAGCTTGTAGTTGACGTGGGAGTTCGTTCATTCAGCATCACTGACGGTTATACTCCAAAGCTTACACAGACCGTTCCGTATTTCTATTGGATACAGTTTTTTATCAAATTAATAAGCATGACATCATCATCATCAAATGATGTCCTCATATATACATATATATATACATGAGTACCGCCTCAATAATGATATTATTATTATATAACAACAGATATAATCCGCCTTATCCGTTCATCGCATCGGAAACAAAAAAGCGAAAGAATTTGGAACGATCTTTTTACAATTATTTTCTTCAGTTGTATACAGTCAGTATCAGTCGGTAGTCGGTAACGCGTAAGTGAATAATCGTGTCTGTTGCGAGGCTCAAATCAAAAATGGCACATGTTTACGAAAATGCTGAACTTGTGGACATGGTTCTTATTTACGGGGAGTCTTTACAAAATGCTGCCGCGGCATCACGGATCTATGCGGATCGGTTTCCCAATCGAGTGCAACCAACCCCTCGTGCCTTTGTTAATGTAGTGCAAAGAGCTCGTGAATCAGGTGACTTAAGACCTCACAGAGGAGATCATGCCGGTGCTCCAAGACCACACGATCAAATAGAACTAGAAGAACAAATTTTAGAATTAGTAAGTGATGATCCAACAGTAAGCACCCGACAAATTTCAACTCAATTGGCGATTGGTCAGTATAAAACTTGGAAAACTCTACGTGAAGATCAGTTCTATCCGTTTCACATACAAAAAGTGCAGGCCTTACAACCGGAAGATCATGAACAAAGGGTTGACTTTTGCAATTGGCTTTTAAATAAACATCAAAATGATGACAATTTTTTAAATCAAATTTTAGTGAGTGATGAAGCCCTCTTTACTAGAAACGGAATTATTAATTCACGTAATTCTCACGTTTGGGCTATTGAAAATCCCCATGAAATAAGGGAAACCAATTTTCAACAGCGATTTGAACCAATCAACCTGTGGGCGGGAATTGTTAATGGAATTTTAGTGTTGCCTTTTGAATTACCAAATCGCTTAACTGGTGAAAATTATTTTGATTTCTTGCAACACAATTTGCCTGGTTTACTGGAAGATGTGCCTTTAAATATTAGACAAAACATGTGGTTTTTACAAGATGGGGCACCACCCCATTATGCAAGAAATGTGCGTGAATTTTTAAATAGACAATTTAATAATCGTTGGATCGGCCGTGGCGGTTTTGTACCTTGGCCGCCAAGGTCTCCGGACTTAAATCCTTTAGACTTTTGTTTGTGGGGTTGGCTGAAAACTCTAGTGTATAAAACACCGGTTAATACACGCGAAGAATTACGTGCTCGAATTGAGGAAATGAGTACAGTGATCAGAAATCAACCAGTGATTTTATTGCGTGCTTGTAAAGAGACATGGCTAAGACGCGCCCAGCTGTGCGTCGAGCAAAACGGAAATCATTTCGAACAGTTTTTGTGACATGCTTTTGGGCGCACAGGTCCGCACTGAAATACTTGTCGGGAGGATACTTTATAAAACAAGGTAACATTTTTTTTTTAATTTTTTTTTATTTTTACACACATATTTTGGTTTATCTTCCTTCTACAATCCTTATCTGAAAATTAATGACTCAACTTCAAAGTCACCCTGTATATATATAACTTGAGACGTGGTCATTGTCGTCTAGACCAGTTAGGTGAAAAATTAAAGCTTCCGCCTTTTGTTGGGTACTTCGACAAAATTTAAGCAATGAGGACTCTTTATACTTTCTTTAATTCTCTCTAGCTTTCAATGGACTTTGCCATCATCATCAGGAGCTGCAATTACAATCATAACAGTAGCAACAAAAGTGTAAAATGAATTTAAATTGAATCAACTTACAGTAGTATGTGAGGATGTTGCTAATTGTTGTTTTCATATAGGATGAGGGAAACGTCCAGTAACATGGTGAGAGCTGGATACATGGTACAATGGTTAAAATTATATAAAATATGACAAGACAAGTTAAAGACAGATTAAAAATTATTTAAAAAACATTAGAGCATTACGTCGTGAAGCCAGACATTGACAACCTTCGGCCTTCTGTCAAAGGTTCATCTCACTCATTATTCCATGACCACCATTTTGTGCAATCATCAAGTGGCTTCACGACGTAATGCTCTAATGTTTTCTAAATAATTTTTAATCTGTCTTTAACTTGTCTTGTCATATTTTATATAATTTTAACCATTGTACCATGTATCCAGCTCTCACCATGTTACTGGACGTTTCCCTCATCCTATACGAAAACAACAATTAGCAACATCCTCACATACTACTGTAAGTTGATTCAATTTAAATTCATTTTACACTTTTGTTGCTATTGTTATCATTGTAATTGCAGCTCCTGATGATGATGGCAAAGTCCATTGAAAGCTAGAGAGAATTAAAAAAAGTATAAAGAGTCCTCTTTGCTTAAATTTTGTCGAAGTACTCAACAAAAGGCGGAAGCTTTAATTTTTCACCTATATATATATATATATATATATATCAGTTGGCCAAAACAGCGTTCAATTATAACTCTTTCTTGTTTTAAAAGCTTATTATAATTTATTTCTGCACCTGGAGTAGGATTTCCGAAGGAAGTCATAAGGCACGGCTCAATACCATAACCGTCATCGCCAAGTAATACAACATCTCTGTGGCATTACAAGTGGCTTGCACATTTAAAGTAGGTTTCCCTTTTCGGTTGATATACTCATCCCCATGGCGATTTGGTGTCAGGATTCCTATATGTGTACAATCAATTTCACCAATTGCTGTCGGAAATTTATACATGCTTCGCCATATCCGCTTGGCCTCCATCAGTTCATGGTTGGTAGTTGGAAACTTGATCCATTCGTTCGACTGTGCAACTATGCTGTTCACAACTCTATCCACTTTCCGAGATACCGTTGTTTGACTAACATCAAGTTCCTGTATAATACATTGTTGATATCCAGGGTCACCGAGATAGCGTAGACATATATTCATTTTATGAATACATGAAAGTGCTCCTCCTCGAGTTTCCTCATTCTCAACTAAAAATCTATCCGCAAGCCATTGTACATTTGCTTCGTCGAACCGATATAATTTTTTGAAGTCACAACCAAGTGAAGGTAAACGAGGTTTGTACTTTTTAACATCCACAATTTCCGCCATCATCGTTTAACCACCTCTTGTTACGAAGTTAAGTCTGCTACTGACCACACTCAGAATTTTTGAATTATATGCTTCCTATGCCAAGTATAAGGTGAAGATTATGAGTATCCTTTTACTTATGTCACTGCTTATACTCAAAAATCAAAAGCATTTAAGCATTATAAATACCATCTGGAAGATTTCCTTCAAAATTTGCAAGTACAAGGATATCCTTTGTTTTATGAATACGGCTCAATAACTCTCACATTACCAAGCAATAAACGTGTTTTTTTCCTTGCAAAATTACCGCACCGCATTCACATCTGGGTGTTATGGCCGTAGTCGTAAAAAATAGATGGATAAAATCACAGTTCCAATTTTATGTTACCATAACGAGTCGTCGGTACACTGCGCCTGCAAACATAAACATGGACTCTTTTATTGCTATTATTTCGTTACAATTCATTTATCGAAAGGTAAAAACGATAAAAAGATTGATTAAACATTATCGGCGGTACCCATTAAAAATGTCATGGGACATTGGAAACATATCAGCAGGTTTCTATGAACCGACTTGCGGTATTCGGTTTCTGCCTGCTGAAATTGCTTTCTTTTCTGCGTTTACATCACATGATGGGAAAAAGCTAAGTGATCGTTCGACCAATATGTCTATGAGCTTTAAATCTTCGGTTCAGGAAACATTTAAGCACAAATATAAATAAAATATGGTCAGACGGTCGTTATCTGTCACTTTTAAGGTACTGGTATAATCATATTAGCAAATTTTCCCGAAATAATTGTAAGTGTAAAAACCTGGAGTTTATAGGTCTATACCTAAAAATCTTATATGAAGATTTTTTTCGTTCCTGCCAACACTTTCGATTGAATCCCAAAAAACACGTTTTCTCGTTCTTTCTTGTCGAAAAAAAAGTTTTCCTACAAACATTGGTGTACCCATTTTATGCGTCCAAGTTTTGAATACCCCCTTGAACAACTTGCAGCAATAAAATAAGACTTTACAATTATTTCGCAAACCAGGATGCACTGCGTTCGATATTAATCTAGTCAAAATAAAAATTAGGTTTGCAGAAATTCTCACAAAGCTGGAAATTGTTACACTCCTTGAGTACACCATTACAAATAATATATCAAAACTCCTCATATATCCTTGGAGCGGAAACTTGTTTTAAATTTGCATAGAGACATCAAAAATATCACGTTTTGTTATATAAGTATCTCTAAAAGGAAAGAGATACCACAAAAATACCTTATACAGAATATGCATATAAAACAATTATAAATCAAACTTTTATTCTATGAGTCACTGTTTTTGAGATTGTGATTTGCCGACTCTCAGAGGCTCTTCTGCTCTTATGCGGAATATATTATACAGGGTGGCGCATCGAAAACGAAACAGACGCATTTACTGGCAGCTCAGTTTCTTTATTGAAAAACGCTCAGACTCGGCGATTTTGTTTTCGAGGGGGACACAAGTTTGGCAAAAAATCACGTTAGCACGTGCAGCCCCAAGATCGCCAGATTTATCACCTTTGGATTTCTTTATGTGGGGTCATTTAAAAAGCAAACTCTATGCTACTCAGCCAACATCATTAGAAGACCTGCGACAAAGAATTGTGAATGAGTGCCTTCAAATGACTCCTCAAATATTGCAAAATGTGCGGCAACGTATTGAGCAAAATCTTTATTACTGCATGGAGAGTTATGGTGACCATTTTCCACATTTACTTGCCTAACGGGTCAGTTCATTCTTCATTTTTAAATTACTTTGCTGCCAAATGTATTGATCTCGACTAATGATGATGTATTAGTTTTATTTAAGCTTTAAATCAATAAATCTTCAAAACTACTGAACTGAAGTACATTAATTTATATCATTATAAA